CTCTTTCTCTTTCGTTCTTTCCTTCCTTCTCTTTCTCTTTCGTTCTTTCCTTTCTTTCACTTTCTTCTTCTTTCTCCCTTTTCTTGCTTTTCCTTCCTTCTTTTTTCCTTTCCTCCTTCCTTTTCTCCTTCCCTCATTTCTTTCTTTCCTTCTCTTTCATTTTTTCCTTCCTTTCCTTCCTTCCTACCTTTTCTCTCTTTCTTTCCTTTTTTCCTTTATTTCCTTCCTTCCTTTTTTCCTTTATTTCCTTCCTTTTCTACCCTTTTCCCTCCCATTTTTCGCTTTCTCTTTCGTTCTTTCCTTCTTTCTCTTTCTCCTTTCCTTTTTTTCTTTCTTTCACTTTCTTCTTCTTTCTCCCTTTTCTTGCTTTTCCTTCCTTCTTTTTTCCTTTCCTCCTTCCTTTTCTCCTTCCCTCATTTTTTATTTCCCTCTCTTTCACTTTTTCCTTCCTTCTTTTCTTTCTTTCCTTCCTACCTTTTCTCTCTCTTTCCTTTTTTCCTTTATTTCCTTCCTTCCTTTTTTCCTTTATTTCCTTCCTTTTCTACCCTTTTCCCTCCCATTTTTCGCTTTCTCTTTCGTTCATTCCTTCCTTCTCTTTCTCCTTTCCTTTTTTTTCTTTCTTTCACTTTCTTCTTCTTTCTCCCTTTTCTTGCTTTTCCTTCCTTCTTTTTTCCTTTCCTCCTTCCTTTTCTCCTTCCCTCATTTTTTCTTTCCCTCTCTTTCACTTTTTCCTTCCTTCTTTTTTCTTTCTTTCCTTCCTTCCTACCTTTTCTCTCTTTTTTTCCTTTTATTTCATTCCTTTCTTTTTTCCTTTATTTCCTTCCTTTTCTACCCTTTTCCCTCCCATTTTTCGCTTTCTCTTTCGTTCATTCCTTCCTTCTCTTTCTCCTTTCCTTTTTTTTCTTTCTTTCACTTTCTTCTTCTTTCTCCCTTTCACTTTTTCCTTCCTTCTTTTTTCCTTTCCTCCTTCCTTTTCTCCTTCCCTCATTTTTTCTTTCCCTCTCTTTCACTTTTTCCTTCCTTCTTTTTTCTTTCTTTCCTTCCTTCCTACCTTTTCTCTCTTTTTTTCCTTTTATTTCATTCCTTTCTTTTTTCCTTTATTTCCTTCCTTTTCTAGCCTTTTCCCTCCCATTTTTCGCTTTCTTTTTTCGCTTTCTTTCTTTTTCTTTTCTTCCTTCCTCCCTTCCTTCATGTGGTTCATGTTTGGCTCTTTTAGTTTTTTGCAGAAGAGGTCAAAAAAGTCAAAATGGTGGCCATTTTTCCCATTTTCAGTCTGGGTTTCTTTCTTTCTCTTTCTTTTTCTCCCTCCCTCCCTTTCTTTCTTTCTCTTTAGTTCTTTCCTTCCTTTCTTTTTCTCCTTTCCTTTTCTTTCTTTCTCTTTCTTTTTCTCCCTCCTTTTCTTCCTTTTCCCTCCCTCCTTCCTTTTTTCCCTTCCTTCCTTTTCTCCTGTTTTTTATTTAGTCCTCTTTCACTTATTCCTTCCTTCCTTTTCTTTCCTTCCTTCCTACCTACCTTTTCTCCCTTTCTCTCTCTCTTTCCTCCTTCTTTCTTCCTTTCTCTTTTCTTCCTTCCTTTTCCCTTCCCTCCTTCCTTCTTTTCTTTCTGGCTTCCTGTGGTTCGCCTTTTGACTCTTTTGGTTTTGTTGCAGAAGGGGTCAAAAAAGTCAAAATGGTGGTCGTTGCCCCCCCCCTCACAAAACAGGCAGAGCATTGATCGCACCATTATGCCCCCACCCCCGGGACTATTTTGACCCTAACCCTGTAGGACCGGCCCATTAACCTGGTTAATAGACGTTTCCAGGTTTCAACCCAGGAAAATCCTCCCCCCCCCCGATCAAAGTGAGAGGGGGGGGAATGCAAAGTGAAACTTGCAAAGACCCCCTCCCCAATCCTGCTTAGCCACCCTCTTCTGTCAGGTGTTAAGATTTGGGGGAGGGGGGGCGCTTTTAAAATTCGGCACTGGCCTCTATTTTTGGGGTGCTCCCCCCCCGGGGGGGGAGAATAAAAATGGAGTAGGGGGGAAGGAGGATGGGGCATTCTGTGCCCGGCCTCTGGCCCAGCAAGGGTGCCTCTGAGGACNTTCGTCGAGCGCGCTTTAGTCGAACGCGGTTTTGTGGTGGAACCAAAATTAGGATTTCAACTGAGTTGATTTAAATCAAGCCTTTTTCCGAGCGATTTCAATCGCGATTTCAATCGGCTTGATTTCCATCAAAACCCATCCTGAATACGGCGCTCCTGGAATCCTACATCCAGTTCTGATCGCCACGTTGCAAAAACGACGTCGAGACTTTGGGAAAAGCCCAGAGAACAGCAACTAAGATACTCAAAAGATATAATAAAATAGCAGGATTTGGGTTTGGCCAGTAAGTTCTCACACTTAATGACCGTTACAGTACGCCCACCATCCCGTGATCAAAATTCAGACATTGGCTAATTGGTTCCTATTTACGACGGTCGCAGCGTTCCCGTCTGTGTACTTCCTTATCCAGCCAAAACAACAGGGGAAACCAGATTCACTTAAGGACCGTGCGACTCGCTCAGCAACGGCGGCAGTTCACGTAACGAGCGAGGCCCTGAAAAGTCGTAAAACGGGACCCAAGGCGTTTAGCTGCCCTGCTTAGCACCAGAAATTTTGGACCGAGTTGTAGTGTTAATCATCTTACCACTACAACTCGGCTCCAAATTTCCTACTTCTCTGTTTTCTACTTCCTAGTCTTTTAATTTTGATAAATCCAGACTTTAAGAAGCCCGGGCGTTAATCGGGTGAAGTTGTAAGGACACCTAAGTGCCCCTCTTGGCCTCAAGGAACCACAGACTCCTACGTGGCCCAGTCCCAACTCCGAGTCCTTTCCGTGGCTGCTCATATTCTCCAAGTAGGGCAGGGATCCAACCTCAACGCAGGAGAGCAGAGATCATCCAGGATCCTTCCTCAGGATCTCCAGGCTAGGAACGTCCACCAGATGTCACCTCTGGCATCTCAGAACCTCCTGCACCTTCCGAGTACCACACCTGGAGCAGGTGCGAGGGGTTTTATCCGCAAAACGCTCGGCCGGGGGATCAAAAAACTCGACGTGGACTGGATCTTCTGGATCGTCGTAACCCACGAGAGAAGATTCAGGACACTTGGCTAGCTGGATGGAGGAGATCTTCCCCACCTCTGAGGGGTGGTTGTTTCATGCTCTCTGAGCTTGGTGGTTTTCTTGCAGACGTTTCAGGACCCAACTAGGGAACATCATCAGTGCTCGCAACGCTACAAGAAAACCCCCAAGCTCAGAGAGCAGCAAACCACCTCATTTCAACCCTGAGCTGCAAATATTCTCCTTTATTTTGTTCTAATCTAAGGGGCCTTGTCCCCTGCTTCATTTCCTGACGCAGGAAACAAACCATGATGTGACCTGGGACCGGGACATTGGAGGTAAGGGCCTCGCCAACTCCGATATCCGTATCCGCACGACATCCAGATACAACATTGGAGAATCCCTCCCGCGCGGTCGGAAAACATAGGATAAAAATCTGCTTTCTCCTTTGACCTGGACCTCTGCAACGCCAGGGGAAACCAGAAGAACGAGTTCGGATGTGCATACAGGATTATGTTATGGCCTGTCGTCCCCTGCAGCAGCTGAATCAGAGGAGGAGGAGGAGTCCCCACGACAGTCAGGGACAGTATCAAGGTAACCTTAGAGCTCTGAGGGGGAAGAGGAAATGGAGCTGGCAGACAGAGAGGGGTGGGTGGGAGAGAGGGGGCAGAGCCTGGGCTGTCCATCAGCCCTCAGATGGAGGGTCAAAAGCCCCCAGGTCTGGAGGTGGTTGATGAGAAAGATGAGAAACAGCTGGGTCCAATGCCTGACACACAGATGCACAGAAGATAGAGGAGAGGAGAACAGTGGAAATCTATGGGCCGGTCCTCGGGATGGAAGAGTCACCTTTGCTAGCGAAGCCCCACCCTAGCTCTGGGGATCAAAGGCAGGGGGCGGAGACAAATCGATGTGGCAGACAATTATTCCGTGACCCGTCAAAACCGCGTTCCACAAAAGCGCGGTCGACGAAATCGCGTATGTGACGTCATC